TTTCCTTTTCCTTCAAGCCAATGATCAATGTTCTTCCTTGACGTTATTTCCTTTTCTCGTGAAGTTTTCATAGTTTCTTTCTTCGTTTGATTTGGAAAATTTGGCTTTATAGGAACAAAAGCAAACTTTTGGTTTTGTTATAAAAGATTTAGCATATGATGTATCAATGTTGATTTAACTGTTGAGTTGAAAGGAATTTTTGATTGGTTTTGAGTTATTTGAAAATTTTCTTGGAATATTAGTTTCTGAAACTTTCGAAAACCTGTTGTCTATTTCACTTTAGACTTTGAATGATTTGATTGAGATGAATTGCGGTTTTGTTGAAAAGGATGAATTTTTAGCTTTGAAAACATTTTTTTGGTGATTGTGATCAGACATCTTTTGAGACTCACATTTTCCAAAATATTTTCTTTCTTGCTTGTTTTTTGGAAATGTTGTTTTCCTCGAAAATTTGTCAATTGATCTTTGAATTCTTGGAGTTTAATTTGATAACTTTTCACATTCCTTTTCAACTTGTTTTGAAATACTCTTTTTCAATTTCTGATTTTCAACTCATTTTCTTTGTGGTTTTTGACGTTGGAAAAACCTCCAATTCTTTGTTAAGTTGTTTTCAACTGTGCTTTGATTTGCGAAAAAACCTTCATAGTTGTTTTTGAATTATCCTCTTCAACTAACTTCTTTATTCTGGTTTTTGATTTTTCTCAACATTTCCAGTAGTTACGAAAACTTGATTTGGAAAAATGACATTATCTGTACATTTGAAATTTGGATAAACCACTGAATTCGTTTCAAGATAGTGTCAGCTTTTCATTCATCACTTTTCGAACTTTTTGTATCACCCATACACCTGATCAACCACAATTCGATAAACTTTTTCTTCTTTGAAGATTTCTTTTCCTTCGAAATGTTCACTTCATCTTCATCATCGCTATCATCAGTTTGGCTGTCTTGAGATCCACGAAGTTCATATCATAAAACTTTCGAAGTTGAGGGTATATCAGTTTCATTTCAACCATCAAATCCTTAACTTCTTCTTTTCCTTTTGATGTTGAAAGCAACATTAACAACAGACAACTGAGAACAATCAACATCTTCAAGTTCACTAATTTCACTAATATTGTCAGAATTATCTTCAATATCAGCAAAATTAGATTGAGAATCAGATGTTGAATTCTCAGTCTTTTTCAAAATTTGAATTTGTTCGATTTAGTCAAGTATCATTCACTATGTTAACTAATTCATTCACATCAAGACATTCATCAATTTTGACAATTCCATATTTATATCTATCATCAGGGACTCTGTCCAAATCAGCTATTATTTGCTCACAATCATACGAAATATTATTCTACCTTGGCTCTTTCGGAATGCTAGGAAAGGTAGTAATTTTCTATGTTGCTCTTTACTTATATCACATGACTGATTGTAAATCAGTTAATTGCTATAAAGTCGTTTAGCAGAATTACAATAGATGTTTCTTTGTGCTAGCAAAAGTTAACATCACTCGATAACAATCCCTATCACACATTATATTTGTCATTTGTAATTCCAAACATTCAATTTTGCTTATTTTCATGTCTAATCTCTTTTTGACCTCTAACAACTCCATTGACAACTTGTTGGCCTCATTGCTAGCAGACACAACAATTGAATCAAATAAGTAACCGTCTCATCAAAGAAATTAGTTCAAGAATCATAAGCAGTGTAGGAATATTAAAAGATTCGAGAATTTTACGTACCTTTGTTGTCATTGGAGATTTGTCAGCTGCTTTGGATACGAAGCATCATCCCCTCACTTCGAATTCCTCATCATTTGAGTCCTCCTCCATTTTTTCATACAACGCTCCATGCGTTGGATTCCTCATTTCCTCATCGTCTGACCCGGATGACCATATTTGATAAGTTCCATCTTCATCCTCATGCTCACCCTTTGCAACCAATGACAAATTCTTTGCTTTAGCACGAACCACCTCAGCTTCTCTGCATAGTATGCCTCATCTTTGACTTTATTCTTCCTCTCATCCTTCTTTCGAAGCATACAGTCATTTGCAAGATGATTTGCACCGTTGCAATAATGACAATCTATTCCTGCATCACCTTTCAGCTTCTTCTCACCCTTTCCATTAGCTATCTTCGAATCTTGCTTCTCAACTTTCTTTTTCTCCTCAGCAACATTTTTACTCACATAATTTCCTTTCACCTCAGCAAGCTTAGTCTTCGAATTGAACGGATTTTTGAAAAATTTCTTGACACGATTATTCGAGTAAAATGTTATTGCTTCATCATCCGAATTCATGATGAATCCTTCTTCTTCCTCAGAATCACCATTTTCAGCTTCTTTCTCAGAAATATTTGATACAAGAGCTAATGTACCTCCCAAATTCAACTTCGATCCTCAGCAATTTCATTTACCTCAATTTTGTGTGTTTTCAATTGATTGTACAAATCATTGAGAGTTGATGTATCAAAACTTTGCTGATTCTTCACCATCATACTCACACTTCTCCATTCTTTTCGAAGCCCCATTACAAAGATGAGATTGAATTCCATTGAAGTTCTGGTAATTCCATAACGATTGCACCGATAGATTAACTCGTTCAGACGATCATAGTAAACTTCAATTGTTTCTCCTTTTTTGTTTGAAATCTTTTCAACTCAACCAACACTGTTTAACTGAATTGATTTTTGTCTTCTCACTTCCTTGAAATTTATCTTTCAGATTGTTCCAGACTTCCTTTGCAGTTGTACAACTCCTAACGTAATTGTACACAACTGGAGGCAATGCACCTCGCAGTTCCCTCATAAACCTCTTCTCCAGATTCTTCAGACGATCAGTTTGATTATCAACTCCAGAATTTGTAGAAGATGATCCAATTGGTTGAACATTCACTGGAACATTGACATTTCCAGTGATACATGACCATAATTCTTCATCCAAACCATTCAGATAATCCTGCATACGATCAGCCCACTGATCATAGTATTCAGGGATTAGCATTGGAATTTTGGTTGATGAACCTAGCAGATGAGAAAACGAGGTCATCGAATTGAGATTGAAACTCGCCATTGTTGTACGGAAGAAGATTTTGAGAAGTTTGAAAAGATTTGAGAATTTGAAAACAAACTAGATGAATCAAATCGAATTGATGAGAATAACACTCGATTCAACAATTCAAATGCAGAATCGAATCACAGACTAAGATCTAGACAATTTTTCACTTTCAAAAAGTGCGGAAACTTTTGAATCAAAAAGTTGATTCAAAAACTTTTTGAACAGCGTGAAAATCAGATCAAAGATATGATTCCTGCTCTGATACCAATTGATGAACCAATGAATCGAGTAATGAATTAATCAGAGTATGAATTCAAGTAAGAATATGAGATTTGAACACACGATGTAAATATGATCTTGTTATGCTCTATTATGCTTTCGAATTCTTTACAGAGAATAGTAGACAAGTCTGTAAAAGTTCTTATCTAACTCTAGTAAATAACCCTATTTATAGGGAACTGAAAGCATACAAAAAATATACTTAGGCATTGACTCTAAAGCTTCGAATAAAAGCGCCCTAGTAAAATACATTACAAAATATTCGAAGAGTTCAAAACATACTTCGACTAATTACAATAATTCGACCCTTACAAGAAGTATTCATATATGACAATTATTACCGACTGTAGCAGGTTACATCCTAAATGTGAACACTTTCAACAAGTTCGTTACCTAGATGTGTACAAAAAAAATAGTTACCTAAATATGAACAAAACGAAAAGTAAGAGTAAATTACACGAATGATCATTGTGGTTTGGGAGAATTTATGTTTTTGGTCTCTAACTTATTTTTTTAATCGGATGGTCCCTACTGTTTATTTTTGTTGCGCGTTTGGTCCTTGTCTTACCTAAAAAGACTATTGTGCCCTTATTAATTTATTTTTGACAAAACTTCAAAAATGGTCCCTGTGGTTTTCGAAAATCTGAAGTTTAGTCCCTAATTTATAAAAATCTCACAGATGGTCCCTATGGTTTCAAAACTTTTAACAAATGGTCATTTTCGTTAACTCTGTTAGAATTTGGTCGTTAAGTGAAGGGTATTTCTGTCATTTCACTACAACAGGGACCATTTATGAAGTTTTGCCTTAATTTTTTTTTTAAAAAAAAAAGAAAAATAAATATAATTATTTAATATTAAAGGGCCTCTCTCTCTCTCTCTCTCTCTCTCGGGATGGAGAATCAAAGGGAAGAAAAACCCAGAAGTGCACTCTTTCTCCTTCCGGTCAGACCCTCACCTACCGGTGGTGAAGCACCACCATCGCCACTACAATTTTCAGACCACCAACCACCGCCATTGCTGCTCTATCTCTCACAGATTTGCACTCTTTCTCCTTCTGGTCATGTCGAAACTCGCCGGAAAATCCGATAAGTTGCTCCCATTAGAAAAATTAAAATAGCCTCCCTCACCCATCACCCCTCACGTTCTCTATTTCTCCGACACCACCAAAATTGGAGCAAAATCACCATAATTTGACCTAAATTGGTAAGCTCAAATCAAAATCTAAAATTGTAACCTAGATTCATGCTCTGCCTATAATATTTGACCTAAATTGGAAGCATCATCTCCATTGTCGCCTTCCTCTAAAAGCTCTGCATCTGCGATCTTCGTTAATACAAGCTCACCCATCTATAACTCATGAAATCGGTTCTGCCTCCATCAATTTCATCAAGAACCAACAACAAACTCTAAGGCTTAATTTACTAGGTTGGGATCTTCCTCCATCGATTTTAATAGGAACCAAGCGTTTGATTTTGATGGCATTGTTGTGGTAGCTGACAAGAAGAGGTATCTGAAAGGAGGAGGCGATCGTCGGTGTTCAGATGTTGGCCAAAGCTTAATGTTTACCGCAGCTCATAAAGAGGTAGAAGAGGAGTTCATAAATGAAATCGATGAAGTTGGCTCCGATGATACTGAGGTGAGGTCTAAATTTAGGGAGATGGCTCCGGCGGTGGGATCGATTGCACGTATGGTTATAAGAGGTGGTTCAAGGCGAAAGTCGAGTGAATAATAAGATATGGATCTTGTTTGATACTGATCTTCTCTTTTTCTTCTTATACATAAGCTTTAGAGTAAAAAAATGGTGGTCCAGATGGTTTAACTTCTTTTCAACTGTGTGAGAGAGAAAGAGAGAGAAAGAAATAGATGAAGAGAAAGAGAGGGGTGGGACCCTTTAATATTAAATAATTATATTTATTTTTTCTTTTTTTTTAAATTAAGGCAAAACTTCATAAATGGTCCCTGTGGTAGTGAAATGACAGAAATGTCCTTCACTTAACGGCCAAAAGCTAACGGAGTTAGCTAAAATGACCATTTGTTAAAAGTTTTGAAACCACAGGGACCATTTGTGAGGTTTTTATAAATTAGGGACTAAACTTCATATTTTTAAAACCACAGGGACCATTTTTTGAAGTTCTGTCTTTATTTTTTAATTAATTTTCTTATTTATGTATTTATTTTTATATTTAAAAAAAATTAATAGACCTCACATATTTGTATCTCCTCGTCTTTAGTGCTCAATATCATTTGATTTAATACTTGACCCAACCCATTGTTGTTTGAAAAAACCCTCCACTTCAATTAATGTTTTTTTTTCATGAAAAACAGACATGAGATAACAAATTCAGTGTTTCACTAAAATTTCGAATAGTGGTCCCGAATTCAAGTTAATTCTATTTTACCTCTTCCTTAGAGAAAGACGATCAAACAATTCCCAATCATGGTCCTTGAGGATCGGATCATCCCTATAATATACATTGTCTCTTCATCTTTAGTGGGTGAGGAGATACAAATATGTGAGGTCTATTAATTTTTTTAAATATATAAAAAATAAATACATAAATAAGAAAATTAATTAAAAATAAATTAATAAGGGCACAATAGTCTTTTTAGGTAAGACAGGGACCAAACGTGCAACAAAAATAAACATTAGGGACCATCCGAGTTAAAAATATAATTTATGGACCAAAAACACAAATTCTCCCAAACCATAGGGACCATTCCTGTAATTTACTCTTTTCGTTTTGTTCATATTTGGGTAACTATTTTTTTTGTACACATCTACCTAACGAACTTGTTAAAAGTGTTCACATCTAGGATGTAACCTGCTACAGCCGGTCATAATAATCGTATGTGAACACTCCAACAAGTTTGTTACCTAGATGTGTACAAAAAAAAGATAGTTACCCAGATGTGAACCTACTGAAAAGTTAATTACCTTCCCAAGTCATTTTTCCGTAAACATTTAGCCATCTTTTGGTTAGATGATTTGTTTTTTAAACAATAAAAATTTTGTTGTTTGTTGTAGCACCTGGTTCCTGGTATGTATTTTATTTAAGTATTGTGCATTTTTGGCCTGGGACTCAGCGAGTTGAAGGCCCAACTCGTCGAGTAGAAGCGGATTGGATACGGGATTTAAATGACGGTCTCGTCGAGTCGGCCTCCAGACTCGACGAGTAGACTCTGACTGGACAAAACCCTAATCTAAGGGTTTGCACCCTATTTAAGCATCTCATTCAGCCACCCTTCGTCCCTATTGCTTCCAGAAACCCCCCCATAGCAAACCCTAACTGTGTGTGTGAAGATCTAAAGGCATTTGTGGTGATTTTTGGTGATTTTGATCACAAGGAAGAAGGAAGGGCCTAGAGGGATCAAGAGAAGACCAAGGGAGTTCAAGTTTGTGCATCATTTGCAGTTCCCAGAAGGTATAAAGTCGGTACCTTGCTTGTTCATTTGCTAGATCCCTTTTTGGGGAGATTTAGGGCTTTTATAAGCCATTCTTGGTGACCAACCATGATTGCAAGCATGGTTGAGGGTTGAGGCTTCAGATTTAGGTCCATGAAGGAGTTACAAGGCAGAAAAGGGCTGCTTTTGCACCCATGGAAGCCCCCATGCAACTTAAGAGTCTCTTTTATAGCCTTTTAGGCTCAAAGTCACATGCATGCACGTAAAGTTCGTAACTTTACGTGCTAGATCGAGTTTAGGGACCTAGATCTATCATTTGGACAAGAGTTGTACGCTAGAAATCGAAGAAATAGACTTGGACAGTATCGACTCGGCGAGTCGTTCTTGGGAATCGGCGAGTCCGAGGTTAGACTCCCCTTTTCTGTTATGGGTCAAAGAGACCCAGTGGAGTGCTGGAAAGGTTATAAAGGGTCCAGGGGAGTGACCCAACGTATTGGGCTAAGCCATAGTCCTGGAGTTCATAGGACTCGGCGAGTGCATGAACAGACTCGACGAGTCCAAGGAAATCTCCTAACTCTTGAAGATGAACTCGACGAGTCGAGGACAGGAGTGGTTCTTAGGATGAGGATGAACTCGACGAGTTGTTTGTACAACTCGACGAGTCGGATGAAGGTTCATTCGATGCTCGTATAGAAGGAGAACTCGTCGAGTCATTTCTAAACTCGACGAGTAGAGACGTTGATGAGGACAGTTAAAAGGTTAGGGACTCGACGAGTTGGCGGCCCAACTCGGCGAGTCAGGTGTGACATCCCCAATTTCACGGCCAGAAAAGACCGATTTCGATTATGCTTTTTAAAATAAAATCAGCGTAAACCCTTTTAAAAGATGTTGCGGAATTTGTTCCCAAAACAAAACATGATAAAAGTTTATCAAAACCTTTCTTTATATAATTTCCTTTTATATCAAAACCTCGGGATGTCATGTTCCGATACAGATCAAAAGCATAAACAAGACATTATAAGCCTTACAATAGTTAGTTACAACTACTGGCCTATAATCCATAAATCACTCATCATCATCCGACTATGCTCGGGGTCCACTACCTGTAATATAAAAAGGCTGAGTGGGTCAGGCTTGGAAGCCTAGTGAACATATAGGGTTTTCAACCCACAATAAATAATAAACTTATTAAGTTTATCAATCAACAACAATTTTATTAATTTCATCAACCAAAAATAACCCTAATTACCCATTCTCATTATCCTCACTTTACGTCCCTAAAACAACTATCACAAGGGACCTAGCCTAAGGATTTTCATTAGGGGTGACAACATTGCCTCGGAGGTTCCTTAGCAATTTATGTCAAATAAGTCAACCATCGGGGTGACAACACTGCTTTTCTCAGCAATTTATGTCAAATAAGACAACCATCGGGAGAGTTCGCACCCTCCTATTTATAGCATGCGAGCTGCTGATCGGACGGTTGAGAGGAGGCCACGCAGCAGCATATCCGAAGGGGGCAGCACCTAGCTCGCACGTGGGCTGCGCATGCGAGGGCCTCGCTGGAGGGTCCTGATTGGACCGAAGTCCGGGTCCGAGGTGGGTGGCTCGTGGCTCCTGCGAAGCTCGGATGGATCAAGGAAAGGGGCACGCGTCGCAGCTTCATTGGACCACTTCGGATTAGCTCTCCGGTTCGGATGACTCAACAATATTTCGGACACGCGTCGGATGCGAGGCGAGGACACGTGGCTGAAGTCCACGTATGCGAGATTTCTCGGTTTTGGGGATTTTTCTCGATTTTCGTGCCAAAACTTCTAAAATCCATAACTTTCGCATACGAGCTCCATTTTTGACGTTCTTTATATGCACGCATATGTAAAATTACGCTCTACAACTTTCGTTTAGATTTCGTCGGCTAATTTTGACTTTAATTTTTATATTATTATTTTTAACAGACCGGGACAGGAAATCCGTTAAAAATTCATAACTTCTTCATCCGACGTCCGTTTTCGTCTGTCTTTTTACCGTTGTGCTACTATTGACGAGACATTCTATTCTCGTTTAGGTCGTGTCGGCTAAAAATCACTCGATCTAAAATTCGAGTTTTTAGCTGTCTACTGCTAAGCTGAAACTTCGAAAAATCATAACTTCCTCATACGAAGTTAGATTTGGGCGTTCTTTTTATACATACTCTCGGTTTAACGAACACTACGACCACCAAGGCTAAAAAGTAGTTTATCAAAAACTCACTTTTTACGACAATCGGCACCGTGCCGGTATTGTCGTGAAACTTCGACAGGTCATAACTTCTTCGTTATAATTCGGATTTCGGCATTTTTTATATATTTGTAATCCTTGTCACGACTACTACAACTTTCCTAATAAATATAGGCTTTATCTAATATTTATTTTCGACGCTCATTTTTAGTCTTAATTAATTAAACCCTAATAATTAAGCATAAAACACATAAAACACATAATATTCACATAATTCCTTTTCATTTCTTGAAAATGAGTCACAAAGGTTAACCTAGACTATCATGTCAAATATTAATGCCTAGCCTAGAAACACGGGCATTACAATTCTCTCCCTCTTAGGATGATTTCGTCCCCGGAATCACACATCGACAAACAACTACGGGTAGCGACTCTTCATGTCACTCTCCGTTTCCCAGGTGAGATTTGGTCCATTCGTATGTTTCCAACGCTCAAGCACTAAATCGACCATCTTGCATTACAACTTCTTAGTCTTACGGTCAATGATTGCCTCAGGTTCTTCAATTAACCTCTTGTTTTCATCCAACCTTAATTCAGACATGGAATTATGTCGGGCACAGCTCCTGTGAACTTCCTCAAATAACACACATGAAAGGTGTTATGAATACCCTCTAGTTCTTCTAGTAATTCTAGCTTGTAAGCTTGATTCCCGATCCTCTGAAGAACTTTAAACGGTCTAATAAACCTTGGACTCAACTTTCCCGAACCACGTAACATTCATATCTTAGTCGGACTCAATTTAATATGACCTCTAGGGTCGGAATAACAATCATCTTCTTAGTCATTACCGAAACGAAGGTAATGAAATACTCGAACAAAAACGGAATCAATTACTAGCTCCTTGGTGACCTTGTGACTTTCCTTGATCCAAGTACGAGTCATGTGCTTCCGGTAGTATAGGCCTCTACTACCATTCACACCTACTCATACTCGTCCCAAGTATTGTCTCGCAGTTCTCCAAGTCACCATACAAGAATTTCACATAGTCATTCAATTCATCAGATGACAAAACCAGGGTTTATATTATTTCTTGAAATAATTACACAGAGG